TTTTTAGAATACAAACATTGTTCCAATCGATATTGTGGTTTTTGTTCATTGCATGTGCAGCTATAGATGAATTGTTTTCCAAATTCTTGTAAGCTTGTGTTCCTGTTGGTTGACCTTTAGTTAGGCGTTTATGTTCATTCACTCTTATTTTGAGTGATCTGGACGTTTCGCCCACATATTTAGTCGGACACAAGATATTTTGTAAATCACATTATATTTATCCATCATTTTTATGGGATCTTTCAGTTGATTTATTTTATTTTTAATGAGATTCGTCGGTTTAAACGTGGTGCGAATCCCAATATTTTTGAGGTTTCTTCGAATTGCCTCTGATGTACCATTTTTGTATGGTATTGTGACTATTTTTTGCATTCCTCCGTCTTGTCATTCTCCGGTTTTATCCCCTTTTTTCTCTTTTTTATATTATCTTTGATAAATTCTTTTGGGTAGTTGTAGTCGAGTAACATTTTGAATAAGACGTTTATTTCTTTACGCTGGTTTTCTGGTGTTGTTGTAAGTTTACGTGTTCTACCTGCAAGACCTTGTACTAATCCTCGTTTTACTGTGAATGGATGAGCTGAGTGATCATCAAGTTATCTTACAGAGTGTGTAGTTTTCCTGTATAGTGTCGCTTTTATGCTACCATCTTTTACTCTTTTTATTTTGCAGTCTTTCGTAGGCAGTTTCCCCAATTTCATTCTCTATTTCCATAGTGAACTTTATTGAGTCGACATGTCTGTTTATGTTTTTTTTTACCATTACTAACGTGTCGTCTACATTTCTCCACCAACATTTTATTGATGACCTGAATGGTTTATGTGCATTCTCTTCCCAAAAATCCATGAATATATCAGCCATTATTGTTGAGATGAGCGATACCATAGCTACTCCTTCATTTCGTTGATATGTTTTCCCTTCAAATGTGAAATATGTTGTTGTCAGACAGAATTTCACCCCTTTTATTATATCTTCTACGGATAACTGTGTTCTGTCTTTCAGGCCATTATCTTCTTTTAGTCTCGTTTTCAGTGCATTCATGGCCATTTGAATGGGTATTCATGTGTTACAATTAAACAACAAATAAAGCATTGAAATGACATTGAAAGTTGAAGGTGTCCTTCTGTGATGTTAATCCTCCATTTATGGCGAATGGCAACTATGGAATTGTTTATATTCAGGTGCAGTCAAAAAATAGTTAACATGTAGTGGAGTAAGTAAGGTAGTAATATAAAAAGGTGTACGGAATCCAGTATTTTCATTTTATTGCCTGAAAATTTTAATTTTGCTAAGTTATTTCTAAGCGTTTGCTAGAACCCGTGAATTAATTGAAGATTTACTTCCGTTGTATTCAGCATTCTGTAATTAGTCTTTTGTGCGTTGGTGGCACAGCGGTAGATAGCTCACCGACCACGCATGTGGTCCCAGGTTCGATCCCTGACCACTGACGCACTCCTTTTTGTGGATAGTGAATAAAACTATTTAAAAATAATCGTTAATAATAAACATTATTTCCCCCTCGAATAAAATAGATCATGAAAATGTTGAAAGAAATTTCAAATGTCCGAGAGAAGCTGGATTTACAAATAGGTCGTTCAATGCAATTGGAAGCAGAGTTGACACGAGTAAAATCAATTAATGCACAGCTGGAGTCTGGTATTCAAGAGATGACTAAACAAAGTCTGACAAATGCACAAACAAGCGCAGCGGAAATTCGTGCCTTACAGGAAGAAAAACACTTAGCACACAATAATCATCAGTTGGAAATTAACCTTATGAAAAAAGATTTAAATCAGTTGAGTAATGAAAATACTGAGTTTAAGAAAGAAATCAGTCGTCTGCAGAATAAAATTTCAGAGCTTAAGGTAAGTTATTTATAACCCTTAAGATCATTAGGAATAAGATCTAGACCAGAGTCATGTAGATAATTATTTCGATCTTATTTGTTAGCTAGGAGCCCAAAACACGTTTAATTTATTATGATGGTGATAATCACAAAGCTAACTATATTGCCTATCAACGACTGGAATGGTTACTGACTGAATAATGCTGGTTACAGTTGGGTAGGGGAATGAAGACAAAAGGCCAAAATTTCCTCACCTTTTACTTTAGATACCTACAAGGTGTACTGGAAATGACTTTTCTAGAGTTTGGTCAAAAAGTTTGTGACTAGGCTTTTGTGTAAGACTGTCGTTAAAGAAGGATTCAAGCTTTTGAACACGAAAAATGATGTTGTTCGGATGTTCGATTCTAACACTGAACTGGTTTAAAAGATATCATGCTTTATATGTAGCACGAAGAAACATTTTCTTTGAATCATTATTTTAGAAGTTAGTTTTCGTTTTCGTAATCTGTAGCGCGCCATTTTGAATATGAATAAGTTGGTGTGAAATAACTGTTGTCTTGGGTTGATAGACAATCTGTAGAAATTCCTGGACCTCCGTTTCCCGATTGTTGAGACTAATGGGTAAAGGTTATTTTCAACTTCAAAGGGACTGATGTTTTCTCAGCTATCTGTAGATCCTTGTGTGGTTGGGCTGATAAATGTTCTTTTAGACGACACTGGTTGAAGAAGCAGCAAAGACACGACTCCAGGTGAACATAGACAAGATGGAGGTTATGAAAATAACCAATCAACAACAACAACAGCAACATCCAGCGCCAATCACCATCAACGGGAGGGATGTGAAAGAGGTGACTTCATTCACTTATCTAGGGAGCATTGTCTCAACTACAGGAGGAACGGACGAAGATGTCAAATCGAGAATCGGGAAGGCGAGAAACACATTCATCAACCTGAAACCAATCTGGAAATCTTCGTCACTCAACATCAACAACAAAATTCGGATTCTCAACAAAAACGTCAAATCAGTCAGTTCTTCTATACGGATGGATCAGGAACTTAGCGGCGGGTAACAAAGAATATTTCCAACAGCCTGTTGCAGACCTTTATCAACAGCTGTCTTCGTTCTTTACTGAAGATTAGATGGCCGGAAAGAATCACCAACAAGAAACTATGAGAACAAATAAAACAAGAACCAATCGCCCAACAAATATACAGGCGAAAGTGGAGATGGATTGGACACTCGCTGAGGAGGCCGCTGGGTGACATCGCGTGTCAGGCCATCGCTCGAGTGGAACCCGGAAGGGAAACGGCGAGTGGGACGTCCAAGTGTGACATGGAGGAGATCGTGTGAAGAGGAGTTGGAAAAGTATGGATTAACATGGATGCAGGTGAAAAGTACAGCAGAAGCAAGTGGAGACGTGCAGTTGAAGCCCAAGAGAACAATAATAATAATAATTTGAATGTAGCTAGATGAATACTTTCAAAGTTTCAAAATCACCCAAGACCTACTCTTCATCTTGAAATGCATGCTTTTTACATTTGTTACTCATATTACATTACTGACTTCAATTAATAGTATCACCTTGCATTCTTATCAACCTGAACTTTTGGATGTCACAGGATGAAATGATGCAGTGTAAAAACGATTCACAAAATAAAACGAATTCTCTACAGGAAAAGGATAAACAAATTCAATCACTTACTCATGAACTTGAATCTTGTCATCGGGTACGTCTTACTTATGATGTATACATATTAAAAACATTGTTTGATGTTCTGGTCTATTTTGAAACTTGGGTATTAAGTATGTTTGTTTGGTCGGAACTGTTATGAAACAAAATATTATATAGACCAATAAACTAACATAAAATTACACTACAGTGAGTTCACTTTAGCTGAGCTTTCGACATAATTGGTGCAGCCTCAAAATAAGTGTGACAAGTCTTGTCTCAGTTCTCACTCCGTCCTCCTTTCAGAGACATCAATCACCTAATAATTAGTCGCATGTGATCCGAATACGAGATGAAACGTAATCCAACAAGAAAATAATTCCTTAGTCAATAGTGCAAAATTAGTATATTTGTTCAAAAAAATTCTCAACCTGAAAAGCGCACTATATAAACATCACTATATCAACTTGAAGCGCTTATGTATTTTTCTGCTGCATTTGCTTACTTACGTAAAACTCTCATTTCTCTGGTGTTACTTGCCAGGAAGTCGTAGAATTTATTGTGATTGGTTTGCTTTCGAACACTGATCCTGGGAATGTAATCTTGTTTACTATAACGACCCGGGTAGTATTACTGTTCTCTAGGGTCCTGAGTGGAACAATAATAATAATATATAGCAATGTGTCACTTTAACATACAGTTCCCATCACATTCTGTAAACTTGAACTTCAAATAGTCCTGAATAAAAAACATCACGCCATGCTATGACATCCATCTCTTCGAACTTACACAACACACACTTTTGAAACCTTGCCTAAAGTGAGTACATATAATAGTAATGCAGGGAACGAACGCCATAATAAATGTTTGTGTTATCCTCTAATTTATTTAAGTGAATAAGACCAATTTTACATTGAATATTTATCTGCGTTTGGTCACTGTCAACTTTCGTTTATACATAAATCAGATAATGCTTACTGTTAAAATTATTCATTCTGAGTAAAGGCTCAAGTGTGGAATCACAAAAATTTTAAATCGTCTAAATAACACGAAGTAGCAGATGACAATAAGTCATAATTATTATTGTTCCCTTTAGTTCCTAGAGGAACATAGAGCTTCAGCCACACGTCTCCATTGCGTTCGGTTCTCCGCCAACGTATTCACCTGACTCCACGTCTAACCACATGCTTTCATCTCCTCTTACCATCACCTCCTCCTCCTAATCACCCTCGCAATGACGACCAACTCGCCACTTCCCATTCGGGTTTCACTCGAGCAATGGCCTGGTGTGTCATGCCACTCAATTGGTGGTTTTCTCAGAGTACGACCACAATCCAATCCACCTCCATTTCTTCCTCCATATTTGATGCACAATCGCTTCTTGCTGCTGTGTTGGTTGGTTGGTTCATTGCCAGAGATCACACCCTGTTGATGATCTCTTCTGGCCGGCCATCTGATCTTGAGCAGTATTGAACGATGCTTCCCAGGTAGGTGGGTAGGTGAAGGAGACTGCTTCTTCCATATTTCTCTTATATATACTGATTACTGTCTGTTGTTGTAGGTGTTGGTATGCTGTGGCTATGGCTGTTGGCGAGGAATCTTCATCACCCACGTCTGTTTTCTCTATGTTCACCTGAAATCGTATCTTCTGTGGATGCTTCATCTTTCAACTTGTTGCTTTTCACTTGCATATCTTCCAGTTAGTGGGCAATCAGACTTATATCATCGGTGAATTCCAGATCCTCCGAGTTCCTTCTTTGTGTGAGTCCATTTTATGCCTGTCTCCTCGTTGTCCACCGTCTTTCGCAATATATAGTCTACCGCAATTAGGAAAATCATTGGAGATATTAGGCAGCCAGCCGTTGTCTTACTCCCGTCTTCACTTCTTCGAAGGATTCCGTGAGTTTCTCGTTGTGGATTACTTGGTATGCAGTATTGTTGAACAACTATTGTATGAGGTGCATAATTGTCGGTGGCACCCCGTAGTAGCGAAGTTGTTTCCAAATCACCTCTCAATCGACGCTGTCGAAGGTCTCTTGAAAGTTGATGAAGTTGAGGTCGAGAGCTGACTGCCATTCCAAGCTCTGTTCAGTGATGATCCGTAATGTGGCGATTTGATCAATGCATGACTTGTTTCTCCTGAATCCAGCCTTTTCCGGTCGAGGTTTTCATCGAGAGCATGTTTGATTTCCTCCAGGATGATACGGCTTAGTATTTCGCTTGGGATAGACAGGAGCACAATACCGTGTCACTTCTTCCATTGACTTAACTCTCCTTTCTTTGGCAGTTTGATTAGGTAGCCTTTCCTCCAATCAGCAGGCACCTTGCCCTCCTCCTCCAGTAGTGGTGTCATCAAGTCCGCCGATGTCTCTAGGTCCATTTTCAATGCATCTGCTGGGATTCCGTCTGGTCTGTAGTGAGCCACTGTTTGTCCTGTCTCTTCTTTCTGCCTAGAACTTCCATGCAGGTTTGACTCCACACCGCTTTCAGGCTGCTCCAGTGTTTTTCGACGCTAGTCTCTTCGCTAGTGTTGATTTGTGTCTCCGCCTTTTTCCTTATGATTGCAATGAAGATGTCCTTTGTGGCCTGATCCTTCAGTTTTTGAGTATTGAACTTGGCTTGTGGTCTATCTGCACCTCCTATTTCCTTGAAAGTTTCTAATTTGATTTGTAGTGTTCCTTGTACGAGATAGTGGTCTGAGCCAACGTCTGCTCCTCTTCTTACTTTTGTGTCCATTAAGCTGCATCTCCACTTACTTGAGCAACATTGAGGTTAAGTCAATTTGGTTTTTGGTCCACCCATCTGGTGACACCCATGTAGCCTTGTGAATATCCTTGTGTTTGTATACGCTGCCACCAATCACTAGTTCATTGGAGGAGCAGAAGTCAGAGAAGAGTTCTCTATTTTCATTCATTTCTCCGAGAGCTTCTCTACCCATGATGAGTTCTCTTCCTGTGTTGTCTGGTCCCAGTTTCGCTTCCTCTTTGTATCAGGGCCTTCGTTGCCGTTGGTGACATCATGATAACTACACCCTTGGTGTGTTCGTGGTTGTCTTCTGGGTGACCGCAGTAAATCATTGACTCTCCCGTTGAAAATTTGAAGAGTCCACTCCCATTCCATCCGCTTTCACATATTCTTAGTACTTCAATACCAATATGTCTTCATCTAATTTGCAATCTGGGCAGCTTTGCCAGTCTCATACATAGTGCGGACGTCCCATGTCGCCACAGAAACTTTTTCTTTCGTCGCAAGGAGACTCATTGTATTGAAGTTTCTGTAGCAGTTTTCTTGACAGGGTGGGTTTGCTAGCCTCACGCCTGAGAAGGGAGTTAATACATAGGGATGTAAGTTACAGAGGAGTGACTTTTTGGGTTGCTCCCTTTAGAACCAAGAAAATAAAAAGTAAAGCAATCGGGACAAAAATATCATAACAGGAAAAGCAGAGACAACAACAAAAACAGTAGCAAAAATATCACTGTCAAATACAATTACCGGAAATAACACATAAACCAGAGACTCACTGATATCGGCATGTAAATCCAATAATGTATAAAATTATAGGTATTAGTTATTTATGGGTATCCGCTCAATGTGTTTAACAGTCACAAATTGGCGAACAGTTAGTTATAGGTAGTAACAGTCAACAAGATTATATCCACAGGATCAGAGTTCTAAAGTAAACCAATCACAATAAATTCTACAACTTTCTGGCCAGAAACACCAGACAAATTAGAGTTTTACGTAAATAAGCAAATGTGATGCACAAATCAGGAAGGCTAACCGCAGCGATGAGTGATGCATATTTGAAAATGATGCTTAATCGAAGTTTACTTGGACATTGTGAGTAAACTCCTATAGGCAACATCACATTGAAAGAGGTTTAAACGGATTGGTTTCTTCTAAACATCTGATGCCCCAACACGGTGTATGGATATATTTTCTCACAAATCTCTTTTAAGTATATTCATATTTGGTAATCTGAACTGGTATTATGCGTCAATTTTTGACTTTAATTAATGGATACTTGCATTAGAAAATCGAGGCGGTGTTAAGTAGTAAAAGTTATTATCAATTAACTGAGCTTTCAGACTGGACACTAGTTAGTAATCTGTGTAGTGTGTCTGGCTCTCTATTTGGTACAAACTGAATTCTATCAGTCAGGTTTGCAATGTGACCACCATTCTAGGTAGCTCGCCACCACGGTGCACATTGATTTGATGATATTAGATAGTTGGAGGCAATCGGCAGGAAGCCTTGCTTGACCTAGGTTTCGTGTTTTTGCCACCACCAACCAGTAAGACGTTTCTGCGACGCGTTGAAGAAACTCGTGTCTCTCCTGAGGTTCAATCGCGCGCCACCCAGTGCTGTAGTCAGAGACGTTACCATTGAGCTATTCGGGGTTGCGATTGAAGTCCAGTAGGACTGTATTGGATATTTACATTGGACAATAGTTAGTAACTAGTATAATGTGTCTGGTCCTTTGTTTGTTGAAGAGTAAATTCCATCAGCCAAGTTTGCAATGTGGCCACCATTCTACGTGGTTCGCGGTCACAGCGTACTGTGAATTGCTGACCCAGCCTCGAATCTCAGAAGAGACATGAGTTCCTTCAAGACTGCAGATATGCCTTGCTGACTGGTGAGTGCCAACTAGTTGGAAACCAAGGTCGAAGGCTTCCTGCCGACTGTCTCCTACCATCTAATACAAACTGACCATTTACTGAAGGCTTTTCTTTTAGGCTATAATTTTCACGATATTTAGCAGTATATATGTCAATAAATATTATGTATGACCCGAAAGAATTCAGTCATCGACAATACATTTGTCTGTTAGAAGATCAGACATTCCTCTTATTAATTCAAGAAACACAGTTTGATAGAAAATATATACGAAACTAAGGCTTTAATACAAATATGCATCAATGAAATACAAAGAAGCTGTTTTTCACTGTTTTAATCTCTTTCATATTACTTTTCTTACTAAAAACATCTTGTAAACAAACAATAGGAGTTGGAGACACAAGTTAATTCAGTTGGATTATTGAAATCTGAACAAAAGATGGTTCAAAACTCATTTGAAGAAAAATTGAAACAATTAGAAACAACCTATGGTCAAAAGCAGAGAGAAGTTGAGAAATTGTCATTGGATTTAAACCAAGCCAAGGTGGTTTATAAGGGTTATTTATCTTATTAGTGTACATTATTATTATTATTATAATTCCTTTACGTTCCCAGTGGAACATAGGGCTTCAAGCTAGAGGCTTGAAGTTTCTGTAGCACTGGTGATTATTTTTACAGGAGGGGGTTGCTAGCCTCATGCCCAACCTTCCCTTTTTACCAGTTTTACTACTGGCTTAGCGAGGTAGAGGAGTGCGTCGGTGGCCAGGGATCGAACCCCAACAACCTGTGTGGGGTCGACGAGCACTCTACCTCTGTGCCACCGACACACATCTTATTAATGTAGTATATATTTTATTGGAACCATGCCGTATTCTACAGGATTTCGATTTAAAATCTTTAAAGGAATAATACCATCCATATTCTCGACAATACATTTATATACATTACAGAATTCTGAGAGAGTGCGTTGTTGAAAAGTATATTCACTCACTGCACAAAATACTTAAGTATCAAGAAGTATTCGGCAACATGTCATTTGATCTGATACTGTTAGATGTGAAGCATACTTAAGTTACTAAAGTTGTTTTCGCTTCATATCCTTCTGAAAAATAATGTATAGTGATAGGTCGAAAGTCTTCTAAAGCTAGTACGAGTAAACAAAAATTATTACTTCAGTCTGCTATCAAGTCATTGAAACACCATAAAATGCAGTAAACTTGATGCATTATGTTGATTGTAAACTTCGCTAGTCCCGTGTGTTTTTAGCGGGTGCAAACTACAGCAACAGTGGACACTTCAAACTTGCATATCAAGATAACATGGACCTACACACAATTTTTCGTACTTTTATGTACGATAATGTGTACTGAAATATATATATATATGAACTACAAACTCGTCCCTTAAAAAGCTTTCTGAATGCTATAGTGCTGCTATGTTTCCGGAGAAAGAAGGGGGAACAAACATTCAACCTTCAAATGTTTTGTAAAAAACAATGAGAGATTTTCGAATGAAATACAGAAAGCAAATAGGACAGTGATAGAAACTAGAAGCTAGCTTATACTGGACGCTGATGCAAACTATAGAAAATACTGAGTAGATAGAGCATATGAACAAAGCAAGAACAACAGATTTTGCAGAATAAAATGATACCATCATAGTCTATTTCGTTGGCTTCTCATTAGCTGCTGCCTATAGACCAACATCATTACTAAGCCTATATACAGCACAGAGTTCATATTTAAACAGAAATCAAACAACCAGTATATGCATACAGTAATTATATATATATATTTAAGGGGTGCTGCCAATAACTATGCACCTCACCTAACAGTTGTACAACAATTTTTCATACCAAGTAATCCACAACAGGG